TCTGCCCGTCCTAATCATCATTTCATCCCCTCCCTATTTCAAATGTTAATTACATGTTAGTTTAAGTTGTTTAAAGTATATTCACCCCTGCAATGAATATTTTAAGGTTCCCCGCTAGGGAATTAAATATTTGAAACCCAAGAATATAAATTCACAAATATTTAATGATAAACATTCACAAAAAGAGAAACGATGAAATTAGGACGAAATGGGAGTTAGGAAGGAAATGGATACAGTATAGTACAACTGAAGGAAATGGATACAGTACAGTACAATTGAAAAATGAGGGAATGAATGGAAACAACAGAAAAAATTATGGAAGGAATGGATACAGCTGGAAAATTATGGAAGGAATGAATACAACAGAATATGAGGGAAGGAATAAATACAACTGGAAAATGAGGGAAGGAATGGATACAACAGAATATGAGGGAAGGAATAAATACAACTGGAAAATGAGGGAAGGAATGGATACAACAGAAAATGAGGGAAGGAATAAATACAACTGGAAAATGAGGGAAGGACTAGATACAACAGAATATGAGGGAAGGAATAAATGCAACTGGAAAATGAGGGAAGGACTAGATACAAAAGAATATGAGGGAAGGAATGGATACAAAAGAATATGAGGGAAGGAATGGATACAACAGAATATGAGGAAAGGAATGGATACAACAGAATATGAGGAAAGGAATGGATACAACAGAATATGAGGAAAGGAATGGATACAACAGAAGGAATATGAGGGGAATGAAAGGATACAACTGGAATATGAGGGAAGGAAACGATATAACAGAATATGTTCCAAAAAAATATAAAAGTAATTCTGACAGTTTTTGAGATTTAAAACTAAAGTCTTTGAATTTTTATCATTTAGAGACGCGCGCTGGTAAGAAAGTATCCAAGTACCTAATGCCGAAAGTCGAACTTAATACATTTATTCAAACTTAAGAGCAGTTTTTACTCAACTTAAATACAAAATATGAAATTTAAGTTCAATCACAGCTTATAAACTCCAGACTCTATAACATTTGCTGGGCATTTAATAACAAGAGATTAACTTGACAATCAAAGAAAGACTGATATATAGATCTCTTAAAAATAAAAAAAATGTTCACTAGAGGACTTTAAACCAGATGAAAAATAAAGAATAGTATAACAGTAAAATCTAAAATAAAGAAAAGTATAAAACTGAGACGGATTAATGAAAAGAGAGGAAAAATCTATCTGTCTGTCTATCTGTCTGTCTGTCTGTCTGTCTGTCTTGGTGTCTGTCTGTCTGTCTGTCTGTCCGTCTGTCTTGGTGTCTGTCTGTCTGTCTGTCTGTCTTGGTGTCTGTCTGTCTGTCTGTCTATCTATCTATCTATCTATCTATCTATCTATCTATCTATCTATCTATCTATCTATCTATCTATCTATCTATCTATCTATCTATCTATCTATCTATCTATCTATCTATCTATCTATTTATCTATCTATCTATCTATCTATCTATCTATCTATCTATGATAATACTTACAATGAATATCTAGAACGGCCTCTCCTTTCATTGTCTCCTGGTTGACCAGCGCTTCGTGCCTGACCTCGCACCTCACCTCTGCTCCGTGGTCCTCCCTGGAGACTGGGATCCTTACCCTGGAGACGAGAAGGCTAGTCTCTCCCTCCTTCTCCGCCCCCTCCTCCAAGACCTCCCCCCTCCCCTCCCACACCTTAGACCCAAAGTACCAGACCAGCTGAGGAGCTGGATTCCCTCCTTCTGAAAAAAGAAAAATAATATTATAAATTTTAATTAAAAATTAAAAATTGCAAAAAGCTGCGGACTCAAAATATGAGAAGTAAAATATGAACTTTAAAAACAATTACATTTTGTTCCACCTATTTTTGAAAAATGTGCAAAGGCACTGAGTTTTTGCCACAAACTTTTATTTTCTAATCTTTGGAACCGTATGCTGTAGACCTTTGATCTTTCAAATCATGAATTATGGTAGATCAAATAATCATAGTTTGAAATATCAAAGGTTAACATCTTTAGATAGGAGAAATATAGGGATTAGACTTTTTGAGTTTGTGGCAAAAACTCAGTTCCTTTGTATTGGAAAATGTGCAAATTTGTATTGGAAAATGTGCAAATTTGTATTGGAAAAGTGCCATTTTTTTGAAAAATGTACCACCTAGCTGAAAAAACGTACCACATATTTTTTGCAAAATGTACAATCTATTTCTAAAAATGTACCATATATTTCTAAAAATGTACCATCTTTTTCTAAAAATGTACCATCTATTTCTAAAAATGTACCATATATTTCTAAAAATGTACCATCTTTTTCTAAAAATGTACCATCTATTTCTAAAAATGTACCATATATTTCTAAAAATGTACCATCTTTTTCTAAAAATGTACCATCTATTTCTAAAAATGTACCATATATTTCTAAAAATGTACCATCTTTTTCTAAAAATGTACCATCTATTTCTAAAAATGTACCATCTATTTCTAAAAATGTACCATCTATTTCTAAAAATGTACCATCTATTTCTAAAAATGTACCATCTTTTTCTAAAAATGTACCATCTATTTCAAAAAATGTACCATCTTTTTCTGAAAATGTACCATCTATTTCTAAAAAATTGAAACAAGTGGTTTTAAAGTTTATAATGACATTTGTTAACTTTACCCCTCATACCATGTTATATCTATTGTGTAAACTTTGAAAAGATTTTTCAGATTTTGGAATTCTGTTTAGTTCTTCAGAACAGTTTGATCAGTTCCTTACAACCTCAGCACTTTAACCCCCCCCCCCGTTCTTACAAAGTTCCATCCCTCTATTTCTAGTAATCCCCTCCTTCACTTTTATCCTCCCTCCCTTCCTAATTAGTTGAAATTGGTCTGTGGTGAAACAAACAAGAGAAAGAAACCAATCAGTCCCAACTATCTACACAAAATGTTAATCAGCTACATTTACTTTAGAAATATGAATCAGGAATACCACTTCAGTCCTAGTTTTATTCGGATAAAAGAAGCAATAAAAAAAGACGGAAGTAAGTTCCAATATCGAGTTTTTATTAAAAAATATTTTAGACCTGATAATTTATAAATATAATTTCCGAGAATAAAAGACTAAATTTCCCCTGTAAATAGGTTCAGATAATAAATGGTAAAATTCTTAAATAAATGATCCTCGCAAGATTTTCTTTCATCGGTTTTCGATATCCGCTGAATTAAGCGAGATTTTTTCTTCAACTTGGTAACAAGGAAAGTCTTTCAGGAACTAGCCAACCGTCTACTATAGAACCAACCACAACAACAACCGTCTACTATAGAAAGAACCACAATACAACCTGAAAAATCTAGTTTTGGTACAATTCTAAACCATTTAGTTGAAATTGTGGTTATACTGAGCAAGGAGATATCAGAAGCAAGAAGAGAAGGAGATAAAAAACCAGCTTAGAAAATGTGAGGACGACCTAGATTAATCATAACAGCGTCAATTAAAAGGAAACCTCATCCTCTCCTGTCAAAAACCAAAACCTGGCAGTCCATCCATCATCAAAAGTGATGAACAGCTGGGTAGCAGCTCCATTTCTGCTCATTGCATAGAGCTAGTAAAACAGAAATTAAACAACCAATTAAAACAACCTACTCTGGTTAGGCGGGTCCAAACTACATAGTAAATTGTGATTTTTTTATTTGTATTATCTCGTGCTTTGTAGTTGAATAAAAATATGAAATATGAAATATGAACCACAACAACAACCGTCTACTATAGAACCAACCACAACAACAACCGTCTACTATAGAAACAACCACAACAACAACCATCTACTATAGAACCAACCACAACAACAACCGTCTACTATAGAACCAACCACAACAACAACCGTCTACTACAGAACCAACCATAATAACAACCGTCTACCATAGAACCAACGATAATAACAACCGTCTACTGTAGAACCAAACACAACAACTGTCTTCTAAAGATCCAACCACAACAGCAACCGTCTACTGTAGAACCAACCACAACAAATGTCTTCTAAAGAACCAACCACAACAGCAACCGTCTACTGTAGAACCAACCACAATAGCAACCGTCTACTGTAGAACCAACCACAACAGCAACCGTCTACTGTATAACCAACCACAACAGCAACCGTCTACTGTAGAACCAACCGGCCACAACGACACAACGACCGCCTACAACAATAATATAAGATAACATGTAACATGAAATAAGATAAAATAACAATTAAAATGTAATTTTATGAGGATTACAAAATTGATTCTTTTATTTTTTCATTAATATTATTTGTTTGTTACCTGCCACACATTCGACCTCTAGTTCCTCTCCGGCAGCAGCCACCAGGTCACCTTGGACACCGGTCATCTCACCGGGCACACGCAGGTAGACGCGGGCAGGGGCAACTAGGAGATAGATAGATAGATTGATAGATAGATAGATAGATAGATAGATAGATAGATAGATAGATAGATAGATAGATAGATAGATAGATAGATAGATAGTGAGATAGATATATAGATAGATAGATAGATATACAATAAAATAATTTTCCCCAAAAAATGCTAATTTTTGTCCAGCTGTTTTTTTCAATTCCCTTGTTAAGGCAAATGTTATCAATATGCTGAATTGTTTATCCGTGAAAAATATTGTTTTGACAGGATATTAACCCTCTTTTATATATCAAGCTACTAAGAACTTTTTGTTAAGAAATGTAAAGTATACTTGAATGTAAAGAAGTCCCTAAACAGCTTAGCTCAAGTGAAGAGAACAGGGTGAACAAAAAAAAAACGATAGAACAGGGTGTTCCATTAAAAATTACAAATTAAAGAATCGACTGACAGACTGTCTTTAAACCTTGATAACTACCCTATTTGAAAATGAATTGATCACTTGACTAAAACTATGAATTTCTTATCCCAATATCTTTGCAATTTGATTGTCTAATCTTTAATTTTTTCATAGTTTGAAATATCAAAATTAACAAATTTTGGATAAGATAATATTGAATAGATAGATAGATATTAAGAGAAGGAGAATGTTGGATATGTAGATAGATATTTAGAGAAGGAGCATGTTGGATAGATAGATATTTAGAGAAAGATAGATAGATAAAGAATGCCTTTTGTGTATTTAATAATCTATTGGATGGTTGAATATCAAGTGTATACTTCAACATAAGAAAATATTTACTCCATCCTTTATATTCATTAATTCACTAGTTTAGAACCATACTATAATATGAAACCTTTATATTCATTAATTCACTAGTTTAGAACCATACAATAATATTCATCCTTTATATTCATTAATTCACTAGTTTAGAACCATACAATAATATTCATCCTTTATATTCATTAATTCACTAGTTTAGAACCATACAGTAATATTCATCCTTTATATTCATTTATTCACTAGTTTAGACCCATACAGTAATATTCATCCTTAAAATTCATTAATTCACTAGTTTAGAACCATACAATAATATTCATCCTTTATATTCATTAACTTACTTGTTTAGACCCATACAGTAATATTCATTCTTTATATTTATTAACTCACTAGTTTAGAACCATACAATAATATTCATCCTTTATATTCATTAATTCACTAGTTTAGACCCATACAGTAATATTCTTCCTTTATATTCATTTATTCACTAGTTTAGAACCATACAATGATATTCATGCTTTATATTTATTTATTCACTAGTTTGGAACCATACAATGATATTCATCCTTTATATTCCTTTATTCACTAGTTCAGAACCATACAATGATTTTCATCCTTTCTATTCATTTACTCGCTAGTTTAGAACCATACAATAATCTTCATCCTTTATATTCATTAATTCGCTAGTTTAGAACCATACAATAATATTCATCCTTTATATTCATTAATTCACTAGTTTAGACCCATACAGTAATATTCTTCCTTTATATTAATTTATTCACTAGTTTAGACCCATACAATGATATTCATCCTTTATATTCATTTATTCACTAGTTTAGATTCATACAATGATATTCATCCTTTATATTCATTTATTCACTAGTTCAGAACCATACAATGATATTCATCCTTTTTATTTATTTATTCACTATTTTAGAACCCATACAATAATATTCATCCTTCATATTCATTAATTCACTAGTTTAGACCCATACAATAATATTCATCCTTTATATTCATTAATTCACTAGTTTAGACCCATACAATAATATTCATCCTTTATATTCATTAATTCACTAGTTTAGAAACATACAATGATATTCATCCTTAATATTCATTTATTCACTAGTTCAGAACCATACAATGATATTCATCCTTTTTATTTATTTATTTACTAGTTCAGAACCACACAATAATATTCATCCTTTTTATTCATTAATTCACTAGTTTAGAACCTTACAATTATATTTATCCTTTATATTCATTTATTCACCAGTTTAGAACCATACAATTATATTCATCATTTATATTCATTAATTCACCAGTTTAGAACCATACAATGATATTCATCCTTTATATTCATTTATTCGCCAATTTAGAACCATACAATGACATTCCTTATACAGAGAGTTTTCAGAAACATCTTAAAATCAAAAAGGGGATGAACATGGCTTACATTCTCTTCCTTCTATTAATTACTTCATCTTTAACTTTATGAATATTTTACCTCTTACAACTAGTTTAGCTGGGTTCGAGATGAGTGTATCCCTCTCGTGGAAGCTTGAGGCTGTAACCTGGCACACCCAGTCTCCATTATCATACTGGAGCTCTGCGGCTAGGACACGGAGTGAACAGTCCCCTTCCTCTCTATTCCCTGCCCACTCAATCTTCCCCTTGTACATCCCGACAGGTTGGGAGTTCCTCTCCCACCTACACTCCCCCTTCTTGTTGGATACCCTGCACCCTAGGACAGTTTCTCCTCCGGGGTTCACCTCCGTGTATCCAGGTTGCTCCAACCAATCCTACAATAATTTATCCTGTTTAAACAATGAAATAAATTAAAAGAATAAATGTTCGTCTTTGTTTAAGTATAGAATATTAAATTTTCTGGAGTAAGGCTTCAAAGTGTCAATGAAAAAGACCATTCGGCAACAAATTGAATGGGGTATAGGATAAATCATGATTAGACTATAACGATGAGTTTTATCTGATGTTTCTGTAGAGTAAATAGCGTCTTCAATTAAAGTAACTTAACTCCCGCCTCAAACTCTAATATTCTAATCCTTTTATATATCTTCGCAACCAGATGGTGTCGCAACCGATAGTGTAAACTTCCGATATCTTAAACTATGACTCTTTGATCCAACACAATTCATTGATTGAAATATAGGTTGACGATATTAGGTTGCAAAGACATAATGATTTGAAAATTAGAGTTTGAGAAGAGTAATAAGCTTCTTTGACCTTTATCAAGGCTTTATAACTATTTTTGTTAAGCCTATTCAGGACAAATCAATATTCATTTGCCAAAAAAATGAAGTTTCTTATTTGGATATGAATCAGTTTTATTTAGATAAAGAATTAGATCTTGTATACACCATACCTAGTTACAATTCTGTCCTAGGAAGAATTAATTAATTTCCAAACAATTTTTCATATAATATTTTAGGTCCACCTTTATAGATAATAATGGCTAATCATCCTCAATACTAAACCTATTTCATAGACAATACACGAGTTTAAGTCAATCTATAAGCATTTGTTTTTGCCCGAACCCATTAAGTTTTTTAACCCCGCTTTTCAGACCACTTAATTGAAGTTTGGTCAAGACTTTGCAAAAATGAGTTTGTTTAAATCAATTTTAAATAAGTAAAGTTTATAATAGATAATTGAGTTCAGTGAATCCACTATTATAATTAATCATAATTATATCATTAATCAATAATCGCTCATTAATTTTTTAGGTTCAATATTATTTATTTAAATTACCTGTAATCCATTGCTAAGAAGAATTTGAAGAAGAAAAATACAAAAAAATTTCTCCATCGTGAGTTTTCAAACTTTTTGTAGAATTTTATGAATTTTTCATTTTCACTAAATGTTTAAAAGTTTTAATAAGTTTTGTCTTTCTTATTCTAAAACTTTCTTTCTGGGAAGCAAGATTTAATTCTTATTTTTATCCACTCTAAGATGAACTAGATGAACTATAAACGGGGAGAAGGAACTTTAACTATATCTTGGTTGCTCTATGTACTCTCCGTCCTGATATTGGATGGTTACTACGGATTGGGGTGTCTCCAACTCTCTAAACCGTGTCTTGAGCAGTGTCGGGTCGAGCAGAGAGAAGTGTCGTCTTGAGTAGTTTCAACGGGAAACGAGCAGAGCTAGGCCGCCTGGAGAACCCGAGCCGGTCCGGCACAAATTCACAAATACGTTGGGGAAAATCCGCGAAGTTGTAGGTGCGGCGCTCTTGGGGCGAGGGAGGGTGGGGGTAAATGCGCGGGAAACGGGGAGATGGTTAAATTATGATATAGAAGATAATAATTTCCGTTTTGGTAGATGAAGATATCTAATCCAAACCAACCTCGAACCAACCCCACACAAACTTTCTAGTTGCGTGATTGCAGCTAAATCTTGCATCCCCCGACTTCCTATTTTGCCCTATCCTGGTCCCTTCCACCCAAAATTTGTAAAATTGCTCGAATATTCACATCCTTTCCCACATTTCTTCACGCCGGACGTATTGGAACTTTTTTGACAAATATTTGAAATTTGGTTCCAGGTCTCAGGTTTCAGGTTATAAATATAAACAAATATACAAATAAACAACATCAAAAATTAACTTTGGATTCAAGGCTTTCCTAAACTTGTACAAAAGATAGATTTAGATATTGTGTACACGTGATTTTTGGAAACCATTGAAAAAAATAGTTAATAGTTAAACATATATAATAAAAGGTTTCTTTTTAAACGGTTTCCCTACCTTTACATACTTCGTAAAAGCTGACACGACAAAATTTTAATCGTTATTGAAAACTATCTAAAAAGAATTTAACTTCATAATAATGTTTCTGTATGTAATGGATCCTATCTATAGTCCTAGGGGGATTTTTATCCTAAATTTAATTAACTAGAAATTCAAGGCGCTTCGCGCCCTTCTTTCTAGCCTTAGAGGGCGCTTCGCGCCCATCTTCTAAATTAATTGTAAACATGTTCTCTTTGTGTACATCGTAAAACTAAACAAAAATAATTCGCGGATTTTCACCAAAAATTTCGCGGATTTTCAAAATTTTAAAAAATTTAATGACGATCGAATTTTGATGGAGACAAATATTTGAAATTTTGATGATTCATAAACCTTCCCTGGGCTCCCTAGATGTCCCACAAAAAATTTGGGCCCGATCGGTTCAGCCGTTTTGACGTTTATTGGATACAAACAAACAAACAGACAAACAAACAGACAGACAAACAAGCCAAATTTATATATAGATTGAAATTTCTTTTTGATCTCTCTATTAAAATTTCAAATCCCCTAAAAGCATTTTAGTTACGGTTCCAAATATATACGGCGTTATGCGGGTCCCAGGAATCAAGGGAACTAAGTCGTACCAGTACAGCTAGATTTTTAGTTGGGGTACACCGTGTCGGTTTTATATCTTATGACGGGTTGACGAATCAAGGTTTTCTTCTAAAAAATCCGCAAGATTTTCCCAAAAACTTTTTGTTAAATCATTGTAAATCGACTGTCGCTAATTCGATCCGAGATTTATTTTGTACCTTTTTAAAATGTTATGGAGAGGTTGCGTGTATTTGAAATTATGAGTTTAATATTGCTCACTGCACAGTTTCTAACTTTTGGTTTGGTTTGTCAGTTTTCTAATTATGATAAGTTTGGTTTACAAGGTCATAACTATTGATTGTTTGGTTCCTAATGTTTACTATTTAGTTTGGTTTGCAAGGTTTTATCTGTTTTGCAAAGTTTCTAATTGTTTAGCTTGGTTAATACAAAGTTTTTCATTATATTTGGTTTGGTTTACAATGTTTCTAATTGTTCTCTTTGGTTTACAAGGTTTTTTCTTTTATTTGGTTTGGTTTACAAGGTTTCTTATTGTTTTGTTTGGTTTACAAGGTTTTTCATTATACTTGGTTTCTAACTATATTTGGTTTGGTTTACAGGGTTTCTTATTATAATTGATTTAGTTTACAATGTTTCTTGTTATATTTGGTTTGGTTCACAAGGTTTCTAATCATATTTGGTTTGGTTTACAGGGTTTCTAATTATTTAATTTGGCTTACGAGGTTTCTAATTATATTTGGTTTGGTTTACAGGGGTTTTGATTATATTTGGTTTGGTTTACAAGGTTTCTAATTATGTTTGGTTTGTTTTACAAGTTTTCTTATTATATTTGGTTTGGTTTATAGGGATTCATACATTAAACTTACATGGTCTCATCTAGTAAATATTAATGTTATACCGCCCTTTTCTCACAACCTTAAACCCTGCTGTATATATATTGTAGATCGATTAAGATAAATAAAATGATAGATAAGATAAATAGATGGTTAGATAGATAGATAGATAAATAAATAGATAGATAGATAGATAGATGGATAGATAGATAGATAGATAGATAGATAGATAGATAGATAGATAGATAGATAGATAGATAGATAGATAGATAGATAGATAGATAGATAGATAGACAGATAGATAGACAGATAGATAGATAGATAGATAGATAGATAGATAGATAGATAGATAGATAGATAGATAGATAGACAGATAGATAGACAGATAGATAGATTTGAAGGATAAAGGATCTCCTATAAATGAACACGAGGTGGGGATGGGTTGGGATAAAAGATCTAAAGTACCGCTAGACTCTAGAATATATCTAGATATCTATATTCTGTAGATTTTATCAATATTATCACGATTTCCTATTCAGAGTCTAATAGAGTGGTTAGAATATAGGTTTACAGTTGAATAGGGGGTAGCTTTTACACAGATACCGCTGTAAACTTGTATCATTAAATACTTCAAAGTGGGAACAAAACACTTGAAAGAAATTATGTAAGTTTCAAAACAATAGTCGTTCCTATGGTTGAAACAAACCAGCAAGATCAGCTGCTAAAATGTTAGAATCAAGAATCGGAACCCAGCTTTGCCTGGAAACTAAAATATCTCCAATAAAGTCAACTTATTCAACTTAGAACTGTTAACCAAGTTCCAAGCTGAAAGCAAACCGTGGTTATTATCAAACATACATATAAAATATACTCCTAGAATGGCTTATATCTATATATATATATATATATACTCCTAGAACGGCTTATATTTCTATATATATATTCTCCTATATATACTTCTAGAAAGGTTTATTACTCCTATATAGATAGATAGATATATGTTTATCATTAAATTACATAATTATACTTTTTAAACAAACACTTAATTGACCGGATTTGCCTATGAAGTTTTATCTCTGTATATTCCTCCTATGTATACTCCTAGAAAGGTTTATCTCTATATATTCCTCCTAGATATACTCCTAGAAAGGGTTATCTTTATATATTCCTCCTAAATATACTTCTAGAAAGGTTTATCTCTATATATTTCTTCTATATATGCTCCTATAAAGGTTTATCTTTATATATTCCTCCTAAATAAACTCTTAGAAAGGTTTATCTTCATATATTTCACCTGGATATACTCCAAAAAAGGTTTATCTCTATATATTCCTCCTAAATATACTCCTAGAAAGGTTTATCTCCGCGGATCGAATGTAAAGACGGTGTTCATGCCTGTAATGGCTGAACTAGGATTAAACATCTTTATACCTAGAAACCTGGGCTAGGGGCGAGNTATTATAATTAATAACTCGAAATAATAATAATAATAATAGGAACTAAGATTTGTTATTTTTTGTTTTCTAAGAAAATAAAAGTTTGAAAGGTAAATTGTCCTTCAATGCCCCTTTTAGCTGTTATTTCTGTGGACAAGGCAGTTAGATTTAATATAAATATATTTTATCGCTAGAGCTCCCCTATACAATACAGAACACATAAATGTATGTATTAGAAGATTGAACTAAACGTCTTTATTAATGTAATAGTGACCTACATTCTTCTATTTACACTTCTTTCATCCTATTCTTATCCTTCCATTTCACCTTTCTCCTATCTTCTTTCATCCTTTCCTCATCTTTTAACCCTATCCTTCTCCTTTAATTCTATCCTTCTCCTTTAATTCTATCCTTCTCCTTTAATCCTATCCTTCTCCTTTAATTCTATCCTTCTCCTTTAATTCTATCCTTCTCCTTTAATCCTATCCTTCTCCTTTAATTCTATCCTTCTCCTTTAATTCTATCCTTCTCCTTTAATTATATCCTTCTCCTTTCATAATTTCCTTCTCATTACATAATATACAACTCATCTTATCTCTTTTCATCCTATCCTTCTCCTTTCGCCTTATCCTCCTCCTTTTAGTCTATCCTTTTCCTTTCATATTATCCTTCTCTTTTCATCCTATTCTTCTCCATTCATCTTATCTCTTTCATCCTAAACTTTTCCTTATCCTTTCATCGCATCCTACTCCTTTCATTCTTACTCTTTCTGTCCTGTTATCCTTTTTCAATCCTTTATCCTTACTTCCCTATTCTCCTTATCGAATCTGAGTATTCCCTATTACTATTCCCCAGCAATATTCCCCCATCCAACCCCTCCTCTCACCCACAAACTGATTCTGATTTCAAACTCCATTTGGTTTGATTTAAACTTTAATGCATGAAGATTGGAAATCAAATTCATGTCTAGCAATTCTATTCCGTCTACAGGTTCTAGTTTAAAGGAATTCTATTCCGTCTACAGGTTCTAGTTTAAAGGAATTCTATACCGTCTACAGGTTCTGGTTTAAACGAAATTCTATTCCGTCTACAGGTTCTAGTTTTAAGGAATTCTATTCCGTCTACAGGATCTAGTTTAAAGCAATTCTATTCCGTCTAAAGGTTCTAGTTTAAATGAATTCTATACCGTCTACAGGTTCTAGTTTAAAGGAATTCTATTCCGTCAACAGGTTCTAGTTTAACGGAATTCTATACCGTCTACAGGTTCTGTTCTAAAGGAATTCTATTCCGTCTACAGATTCTAGTATAAAGGAATTCCATTCTGTCTACAGGTTTTGGTATAAAGGAATTCTATTCCG